TCGTGGTGCTAGATAGGCTCACATTAAATGTTCTCCCCATGGTACGTTCGGCAGCTTCCGAATTACCGCTCATGCTATGTATCAGGCCTGCAGCCGCCCACCGAGGATAACAATACCCGCAGAGATAACAGAAGCAGTCAAGCACCATCGATTCAGTCGGCTTGGGACCGGCCCGCAACCTACATCTGACGCACTTTGTTGGAGTGGTATCTGTGCCAGCCACTCTATGGCTGCAGTACGGCGAAGGTCCTCCAGCTCCGCAGGTGTTAGATGTCTGCAATCTGTGACTTCCAGGGGGCCTAGATCTTCCAATGACCCAGGGTCGCGCACCTTTCCCAGCCCCCACATTTTCCGACCAACGCTGTCGCAGCAGATCTTATCCGAGACATGGGAGAACTCTTTGCCTGGGTCCACGCTATCGAAATACGCTTTGAGGTCACGCATTGCCAACGTTTCTCCCATAGTATTGCTCTCACCACGAGGACTCCACATGAAAATTCTTGAACACGTCTCCAGCCAGGGCAATCTTTTGCCTTCGTCCAAGAGGGCTTCTTCCTGACTGAAACCGTCTTCCCCGACTGCTTCAATGAACTCGAGGTCATTCATTGCCAGCGACTCTTCCCTAGTATTGGTCTCACCACGTGGATTCCACATGAAAATTCTTGAACACGTCTCCAGCCAGGGCAATCTTCCGCCTTCATTTGCTTCTTCCTGAGTCCCCGCTTGAATCAATTCCCTCAAGGCTTTCTTAGGTGCCGCAACGACGAATTGAACGGTAGCCTCTCCTCTTCGATCGCCTAGTGTCAGCAGCCGAACATCACAGTCGGTAACAGATGGTTGCATCCCATCGACACCCATAAGCCCGGCTAACAGCCCCATGCATTCCACATCTGTAAACGCACGACACGATGCGGTCTTCATCACGCGCGCAGCTATACCAACTGACTTTTTTTTTGGGGGCGTCGAAAAATGGCGAGTGTGTTTCGCGAAGCATCAACGACGATGTGGGGACATTGAGACTGTCCGTACAGCAGCACAGCAGCCATGAGCGCCGCTGGTGAATCATTCAGGTCTTCCTTGCCATCCCTCTGGTGTCACGCGGAGCCATTCCGTCTAGCAACCAGCGAACGGGTCAATTTCCCAACGCAAGTTGTTTCGTCTGGGGGACGCACCTGCTTTCGTTTCGCAACTACAGGCATGGCTCTTAATTCACGTGTACGGTGTGAAAGACTCAACCGACGGGTGCCCCACCGTTTTGGCTCGTTGGGCCGTTGATCGGGGGGAAAGAGGGATGGATCCGTCGATGTTCTGCTCTCAGTCGTTTTGCGTCAGACTCGCGTAAGGAACTGTCCGCTGAGCGTTTTTATCGCGGAGTCTGCCGACTGGAAGTTGTCGTAGCTGATGAAGCCGAAGCCCCTGGACCCGTTGGTTTCTGGATCCTTCATGATCTTGGTGCTGGTGGTGTTTCCGAAGGCAGCGAATCGCGCCCTACTAGCCGTGGGGTGTGTGGTGCAAATCGTGTTTAGACACAGAGCTAAGACCAGACAGACCCAAAAAATTTATTCTGTCCCGGCTGACCAGAGTAGGCCATAGCAGTCGGCTTGGCACATCTTGGTATTAACACGCTCGCTGTTGCGCTTTACGGAATATTTGGGGTTCAAGTTAGCCTTGGGGATAGATAGCATTCGAACCATGTCCCACATTCGCGCGTTAAATCCGAAGGAGTTAATCCATTGTGTTTCTTGGGCGTTGTCCACTTCGATTTGGCAGAGGGTATGTGAAATATGACAAGTACAGTCGGGGATTTGGCACACAGATTGATTACAGATTGTCGAACAACTTGTGTCTGCAGAATAGGGTGTGTTTAGAGCAACTGTGAAATCTTTTGTTGACTTGGTGTCTCTGTCCACAGGATGGACGGAGACATGTTGTGAATAATGATGGGCCTCTGCCAACAAGTAGTTTGTCGTTTCCTTTTCCGAGTGACACCTAAATAAACAATCATCAAGGTCGGTGAAGTGATGCTTTGTAGCATCCTGCACGGCATAGACGTCCATCCACATGGGACCAAAACGATGACAAGTGAAAGGTAGACTATCATAGCAACCCCAAAACCAAGGTCGGCACTCTGTTAAATACGTCTTTTTACACATCATCAGTCCACTTCCACCACCACATGGAAAGCGTCCGATCTCCGTTAACTTGTTCCAGGAATTTGTAGGATAATTTTTGCACTCTTCTAAAGGCAATTGAAGCTTGCTTAACTCTCGTCTACTCAATCTCAACTTCAACAAGTCTCCCGCGCGCTCCGTCTCCACAATCCGGACGTCAGTACCGGTAGCAAGATCCGGGCGCATCCGGCGACATGCGCAATCACAGTCATAAGTACCATCCTTTCCCTTACTATGCGACATCTTTCTCAACACATCTCGCACTGTAGTATTGTAACCGATTGACAAAATCCATTGCGGAACCCAATCCGTATCTCCCGGTGTCCAAACGCGACATTCAACACTTGTAAAATCACACAGACTTGACCGACAACCAATAGACCCCCCTGAGCAACGCTTTACGACAGGATAACGCGGTCGCATCATCGTTGTGAAGTCACTCATCTCCAGTTCCCCAAACCCCTTATCAGGACAACGAGGAACAAAGGGTAGATGCCTTGAGGTCTCCTCCCACAGATGGCGCACTCTATTATCCGAATCATCACACCGTGCAACACAGGCTCCGTCGTTCGGTAGATAACGTTCTATCGCGTCCTTCACCGCAAACACGTCATACGTCCAGGGACCGAAACGATGGCAGGTGCCAGCGGAGGTACGTGATGCACACATCAACTGTCCACTACTGCCATCACATGGATATCGCCCTAAACCTGCCTCGATTAAGGGCCAGCTACCATCTCCATAACTAGATGAATTATAGGCCTCATCGCATTTGGGCCCTGTGATTTGAAGTCTCTCCAAATCAACTCCAGTCATCGGCGTCCTGGCAAAACCCCCGTATTTCGTAACAATCTCTATGCTTGCCGTCGTCTCCGTCGGTAATGTTTCCTTCATCATGTTCACGTCGGATGTTTCACTCACGTCGGATGTTTCACTCACGTCGGATGTGACATGCGAACTGCTTGTGGTGTGGTCCTCGGTCATGGTGCTTGTCTGGTTCATGTTGGGTGTCACATAACGCGCAGTTGACCTAGTGTCGAGCATTCGCTCGAACGCGGCGACTGTGGAAACAAGATCCAAGGGGCTCGAACTGCTCGTGGTGTTATTCTCGGTCATGGTGCTTGTCCGGTTCATGTTCGGTGTCACATAACGCGCAGTTGAGCTAGTGTCGAGCATTCGCTTCACTGTGTTCGCGGCACCTGTGGAAACAAGATCCAAGACGTTCGAACTGCTCGTAGTGTTATTCTCGGTCGTGGTGCTAGATAGGCTCACATTAAATGTTCTCCCCATGGTACGTTCGGCAGCTTCCGAATTACCGCTCATGCTATGTATCAGGCCTGCAGCCGCCCCACCGAGGATAACAATACCCGCAGAGATAACAGAAGCAGTCAAGCACCATCGATTCAGTCGGCTTGGGACCGGCCCGCAACCTACATCTGACGCACTTTGTTGGAGTGGTATCTGTGCCAGCCACTCTATGGCTGCAGTACGGCGAAGGTCCTCCAGCTCCGCAGGTGTTAGATGTCTGCAATCTGTGACT